GTCCAGCACCTGTGGTTCCAGACCATTTTCGATATGCTCGAGCACTTCCGGGTGCACCCCATCCCTCTGGAGTCTGGAGGCTCCAGTGATGTTGTCCTTGTCAGCTATGTCCCATTCTCCCAGCGACAGCAGGGTGAGCAGAGCAGGTCTGCAGGGGAGGAGGTGCCCGTGCACCCAAGAAGTGAGGTGTGTGTGCCAGAAAGATGGGGCGGGGGGGCTCTGACGAGGAGAGGCTTTGCTTGGGAGAGCAGGGTAGAGGAGGCTGCTGCACCTGGGGGTTTGGAAGGGAAAGAAATGCACTGATAGGATGCAGGAAGGCAGAAGGCTCCTGGCTGGAGTCCGGGTGGCAGCTGAGAGGCGGGCGGGCGCATCCCCATTCCATCGGATCCTCTGTTCCATCGTCTTCCTGGCCTCGTCTTTGCCCTCCGTTGCGGTCTGGCCTTGGGCCTGCCCTTCCTGGGGACGCTCGGTCTGATCCCCCTCCCTCCTCCCTCAATGTCTCATGTCCCTGTCTGATCTCTCCCTCTCCCCCGCCCCACCGTCCCATCTGTCCCCACGTTGCCCCTCCCCCCCAGGCCGGAAGCAGGCCGGGAGCCATGCGGGGGTGTGCGAGGGAGATGGATGCCACCCCGATGCCTCCTGCACCCTCATGCCCTTCGGAGCGAGTGACTGTGTGTAAGTGTGGTCCTCCTCTCACCGCCGCCCATGATCCATCTTCCATGGATGGGGGGTTGCTCAGGAGATGGGATGTGGGGAGACAGCCATGCTCCTGGGGGGCTGAGTGAAGGGGAGGCCGAGGCAGGAGCTCACCTGCCTCCACAATCAGTCTGTTTTCTTACCCTTCCTATCCAGAACCGAACACCTCCCATGACCCACCCCAGCCCCCTGAACCCCCTTCATGGACAGATCCCCCACAGCCTGGGGCAGAAGAGGCGTCGAGGGCGCCAGAAGTGGCGGCAGCAGCAGCCGCAGCAGCCAAAGAGAGGCAAGAGAAAGAGAAAGCGGGCGGTGGAGGGGTCCCGGAAGAGCTGGTCCCCGTGGTTGAGCTGGTCCCCGTGGTTGAATTGGAAGAGGCCATAGCCCCAGGCTTGGAGGCCCAGGGCGGCGCCGGGTCTGGTGCAGACTCGGAGGTGCCCCCGATGGTGCAACTGCAGCAGTCACCACTAGGGGGTGATGGAGAGGAAGGGGGCCACCCCAGGGCCATTAACAACCAGTACTCCTTTGTGTGAGATGACCCCACCCAATCTGCCCTTTTGCCCCCCCAGCCCTGCTCATGAGATTGGGCTGTGTAGGGACAGAGGAGGCTGAAACCCCTCCCCCATGCTTCCTGACCCTTGTTGGCCAAGGGCATCTTCGATGGTACAAGCAGAGGTTTGGGAGCCTGTTTGCTCCTGTCATACACTACAGGTCCCCTCCCCAGGGCAGGGAATTTGGGCTCCATGACCTCCGTGAGGGGCTCTTCTGGTCAGCCCCACCCTGGGGGCCATTTCCCCATTAATCACCCCCAGCCCGAGGCAGGGTGAGGGGGAAGGGCTGTCAGTTATATTAAGGTCGTTGTTGTTGTTGTTTTAAACAAAATGGAGAAGCATAAATAAATAAAAAGGTTTATCTGGGTTCTATCGTGATGGCCATGGCCAGTGTTTGCTGCGGGGACTGGGACAGTTGCGTTGGGAAGGCGGCTCACTCAGTGCCCACAGGTCAGAGGGCTGGCCCAGGTCGAGTCCCTGCCGCTCTGCACTGCTGTGCTTTCCGGGCCGTCCCTGTCTGCTGACAGCCTTGTCTGTGGAGTGCTAAATGATGTTCTTGGGGTCTCCTTTGAGTTCTCTTGATGGGATGAGCTGTGATTGGCAGGTGTGGTTATCTTCAGGGGCCCTTCCTGCTCCAAATTTGAGTTACGGCTTCCTATCCTGGAGAGAGCTGGCAGCAAGAGATGGAGGGCACGGTGGCTGTGCTGGGAGAGATTTAATGTGACAGTCACAGAGTGGCCACAGAGGGGCCCGATGCCAGGCTGAAGGGTGGACAGCAGAGAGCACTGGCTTCCGTCCTGGCTTTGCCACTCACTGGCCTCCGTCCTTGCTTTGCCACTCACTGGCCTGGGCAAGGCATAGCCACTGTGGGCCTGAGCATCCTCATCTGTGACATGTGAAGTTTCATCTGAGTCAGAGCTGCTGACATGGTTTGCTTGGCCTAGACAAGGTTTCCATTTGAGTTCCACATTAAAAATTCAGATCACTGGCTTCTCTTGAAAATCAGAAGATCCAGCTGTGCGGGTCCACCTTCCACATCTGCGCCACTCCCACCAGTTCACTTCGCTCCCTGTGAGGGTCTGGCCCTGTGGGCATTTGAGTTCATAACATCTCCCCATTGTGGCACACCCCTCACCCCATTAAACACAGGTTCTGCTTTTGGAGTCAGTCTTACTGATATGCGGCTGTGCCCTCCAACAGAAGGCACCCCTGGGCTTCCCAGCTCTGAGGGCAGTGGGTGCCAACAAGGAGGGGCCTGGGGCTGAAGAATCCCACCCACCAAGCTGGGCTTTCTCCCTTCCCCGCTGTCCGGCTCTGCTTCCCAGCATCCTGCCTCACTCTCCGCCCAGGCAGCATGGAGCCCACACCCTCATGCCCCTCAGTGTCAGCCCCCACCTCCAGGAGGCCCTACCCACACTCATGACCTTGCTATTCTGGGCCTTGTGTCCTATTGGGAGATGGACAGGAGACAGCTGGGCTCCCAGGCCACCCAGGCGGGGGGCTAGCCGAGGGAAGCCTGCTGGCTCTCCTGCTTGCTGTAATCCCTGGGGCTCCCCAAACCTTGGCCTCAGGAGACTGGGGATAGGACCAGTCTTGAAAGTGGGGGATGCTTTGGAGAGCCGGGTGCTGTGTTCTCTGAGATGGCCAGTGAAGGCTGTGGCGCCCCGGGGTAAGCAGGGCCTGATCCCCTCCTAATCTTTCAGCAGCAACTGGTGCTCTGAGGCTCCTCCTCCCCCAGCCCTGCCAGCCTTCAGGGACCTGCCTTCCAAAGATGGGCAGGGGAGGGGGATGAGGGCACCCACCCACTTCTCAGACCGGCATGTCTTGGCTGTTGGGGCCTGAGAGACCTTCCCTGTAAGCCTTCCTTTACAGATGGTTAACCCGAAGTTCAGCACTCCAGGGATTGGCCAAGCTGTTGCCGAGTCCTTCAGAGCTAAGTCTGTCCCATGCTTTTCGCTCCAGCCTTCAGGTGTGACAGGAGGATCAATTTCCATCCCTGGGCTTAGAGACCCCGGTGGAAAGGGATCCCCAAGAACGCCTCTGGCTCAGCCTCCCTGTGTGGGAGTTCACACTCGCAGCCTTCCTGAGGCTGCCCTTCTACAGCGCCTGGCGGGTGGTTTTCCCTCCCTGGCTTGTTTCCCTCTCTGGGAAGCTGGGGGAGGTAGGAATAACCTTAAAGGCCTGTTGGCAGGAATATGCTGCCCAGCCTGCCCCCTGCCCTCCGTCTCAGGCTCTCGACTCCCTCGAAGCTGCCCATCTCTCTGTCTGCCCCTCTCCATGTTTGGGCATTCTCGCAGCTGTAAGACAGTAGCCCCTGTCACTCCTCCAGGTGCCGGAGACGCTGGCCAGCGCCAAAAGGCTTGGCGGGTGTGAGCCTGACTCTCGCAGAGACTGTGGGTGCTGGGCCGGGTGGAGGTGCAGGGGGCTGTGTCCCTTGGAAGAGAGGCTGCTAATTATGCCCTCCTGCACCCCCAATTCCGCCCACTGTTCCCCACTCCCCTCAGGTCACAGCAGGACTCTGCTTCAGAAAGGGGTTTGTTGGAACTGTGAAAAGGGGGTGGGAAGGATTGCCTTGTCCTCAGTTCACCCAGGAGGCCACACCTCCCCCAAGTCCAGGCAGAAAGGATGCATCTGGGAGACTGAACCCTCAAGTTCCACCTGCCCTTGCTGCCATCCCCCTCCCCCAAAGTGGGGGCCTTCCTTTTCTTTGCTCCTCTGTCTCCTATTCTGTCCTCTGCCTCGGAGTTTGAGCCCCAGAGTGGGAAGCAGCCTGAGGAAGCCACACTTAGGAAGTCCACACGCCTTTGCTCATTTCAGGAAACTGAGGCCTAGATGGAGGAAGGACTTGAACCCAGGACGTCAGGCCCCTTCCCCTCACTGACCTTTCACCGTCTCATCCAGCCTCTCTCCTGCCTGTCCTCCCCGTCCTGCACCCCGGGTACCCTCCCTCGGCTTCTCCAGCAGCTGCCCTGGTGGTAACCAAGAGACGCCCCCATCCTGGAGCAGGGGTTGGGAGGAGCAGCTCAGAGCAGCTGCTTCTCTGAGGAAGCTGACACCAAGGCCAGTGGCTCAGCAACAACTTGCGGCTTTGCACCCAGTGCCGGGGTCCCCGCCCACCTGGCTCCCTGCTGTCCCTCTTCGCTAGGGCTCCTCAGACTTCCTTCTGACCCTGGTGGCCCTGAGTCTCTGCTCCCTCTCCCTCCAGCTCTAATCTGTCCTCATTTCCCCCAGACCTGTCCCCAGAAGTCCATCCCTCCCTATTCCTTTGGTCTGGAGCCCCTGCTTGGTCTGGCTTTCCCAGGTCCCGATGCCTTTCCGTGGGACCTGCCTAGCTTCTGGGCACCTAGCATGGGCCTGATTCTGTTCCCTTCATGGACAGATGCAGCAGGGCAGAGTGCAGCACAGACTGCAGGCCTCCAGGGCTAGCCACGGAAACCCCATGGGTTAAAGAGAGCACAGTGTAGGATGAGGTGACCCTCACTGCACGACTTGGGGTGACCCCTGCCCCCATCCTGAGACAGTTCCTCTCCCCCTCTGCCATCAGCACATTCTGTAGCCTCTTGGGTTACTTGGCTGCCTTGGTGTCCCATTTTCTTGGAGGGGGGTGGGGATTCCCTGTCCAGGATGGGGGGGCCCTAAGGGCTGTGTTTCCAGAGGCTGAGTTAGAGTGATGGGGAAGGGGGGGAGGTTTCGGGGAGAGACAGGCAGTGCTGGCTTTGCTCACCAGGGCCTGGACACTAAATCCCTTGTTGATGGCTGTGACAACCCCTCCCTAGGGTAGGGTTACCATCTTCGGCCCTGTCCCCTTGATCCTCTCCCCTCTTCACTTCCCCTTGTCCCTCTAGAACCACTTCCTCTGGCCCCCAAAAGATGTTCTCCCTTCATCAGTCCCCCAAAAGCTTGGGGTATTTCTGCCGCTCCTTCAGCAAACTGGGTGGGGAGGAAGACTGTGGCAGTGGAAACAGGCTCTGGGCAGATGAGGCAGGAAAAGGGGTGTGGGGAAAGGGACAGGTGAGGCCAGGGATGGGGATGGAAGAGGGCTCAGGGAAGAACTCGGAGGATGAGTTTAGAATGGGAAATTCAATGCTACTGGGGAAGTCGAGGCAATGGGAGGGGTGGAGTCAGTAGCAGATGACAAAGTGAAGTCTCTTCCCTACCCCACTTCCCTGGGGCTGGGGCCACCTTTGCTTCCCTCATGAGTGACATCTCAGGCTGCAGCCCCACTGTTCCCCCTCTGTCAGCAGAAATATCTCTCTCTTCTGACCCCTCCTGCTGGAGTCTCAGCCAGCCAATCCCTGATCTGGAGGAGGGGGGAGCCCAGCCCCCCACCGCTCCCTCATAAGGACCAGCTGGGGGCTGGGGGGTGGCCGGCTGCTCAAGTGGGACGGGGGTCAAAGCTTCGTGGAGGGAAGAAAAACCTGGGGGGGGCAGGAGAGTAAAAAACCCAGGCAGACAGGCAGGTGGACACACTGAGGAAGACCCCCCACAAGTGAGAACCCCCTGGAAGGAACACACCGGCCCCAGCCCCCAGGAAGGGAGCGCAATGGAGGCCGCTCACGCTAAAACCACAGAGGAATGTTTGGCCTATTTTGGGGTGAGTGAGACCACGGGCCTCACCCCGGACCAAGTTAAGCGGCATCTGGAGAAATACGGCCCCAATGGTAAGTGTCCCTTGGAAGAGAGGCTGGTAATTAATACCCTCCTGCACCCCCAAAACACACCCACACGCATGCACATGCATGCATGCGTTTCTCCCTCCAGGGTATCTTAAGGAAGAGCTGGGCCGTTGTCCAATGCTCGCAGGGGGAAAAGGATACTGAAAAAAACAAGAGTCCCAAGATCCAGAGTTTTGGGAGGTTTTAATGGGATGACCTTGATGAACCTCAAGGTGGCCTGATTCTCTTACCTTAGCCACAAAGTCTTGGGTGGGGGGAACATGAGGCTGAACCTCAAATGAATCTGTCCTTTTCTTCTTTTTCCTGGGTAGAGCTGCCTGCTGAGGAAGGTAAGTTGCTGGAATCCCTGAATTCTCATGACTCTTCCCTCCCCTCTGTCCCACTCCCTCCTCCCTGCCTTTTCTTTAGATTCCTTGGGCAAATATCCTTTCCCAAAAGGCAAATCTACCTCCCCAAAGGTTAGAGTCCTGCCCGGGGCAGAAGTATCCAGGCACTCTCTCCTCGAAGCATCCAGGCCTTGAACTGCCCTCCCACTTTGCAGTCTGTTTCTGGACTCCAGGCGAGCTTCTCAGCCCTTCTCTGGGCACCAAGCTGTCTGCACACCACCCTAGAGCCTCCCTACTGCAGGCCAGAGTCCCGGGCGCTCTATCCCAGACCTTCATCCCCTAGACCTTAACCCGGGGCCCTCCCCTTGCCTCCTCCCCCAGGGAAGTCCCTGTGGGAGCTGGTGGTAGAGCAGTTTGAAGACCTCCTGGTGCGGATCCTCCTCCTGGCCGCCTGCATTTCTTTCGTAAGTGTAGGAGGGTCTCTGGGGGTTAGCTTGGGGTACGAGGCGGGGATCGGGTGACTGCGGAGCTCGCGGTAACTGGGTCCTCGGGTCCGAGCCCCGAGCATCCCATTGTACATACAAGGCAGGCTGGGGGGCAGCGGCGTGTGTGATTCGCGTCCTTCTCTCTCCTCCCCCGCACCCCACAGGCAGGTTTTATTTTAAGCTTTAAGGGTGTTCTCAGCCAAAACACCGAAGCTAAGCCACCCTCGCGGCTTCAAGAGCTTGGAGGGCTCGGGTTACCCCCCCGAGCGCTGGGCTCCCGGGCCCACTGCGATGCCGGCTGCAGCTCGGGGGCCACTACCACTACCGGCATGCCCCGGGCGGGCAGCCGCTCCGCCAATCCCCGCGCCCGCCGGCGCCCCTGCCCCGCCCTCCCCGGACGCCCGACGCTGATTGGTCAAGGAGAGGACTCGCTCTTACTGGCGGGAAAGGGCGGCAGTGCGAGGATGACTCCAAGAAACCCGGCGCCCGGTGAGGGAGGGCATCCCTCGCCTCACCCGCCCGGCCTGCCCCTAGCCCTTCCCTGCGCTTCCCAGGTGCCCCCACGGCCGCGGGGCAAGCCCAGGGCCCTGCCTCCTCTCCCGCTCTGGGGGCCACCTCCCATCCCGCAGTCCATCTGCCTGTCGCGAGTTCTTCCTCAGCATCTGAGTCTTGCTGAGGACTCTGGAGGCAACAAAAGCCTCCCTGTGCCTTGGTCTCCTGAACTCAGGCCCCGCCGCGTTAAGTACAAGCTGGCAGGGCCTCTCCTCTCCCTTCTCAGATTTGCTCCTTGACATTTGCCTGCTGCCTGGCGGTGGCAACAGCTGGGGCGGGGCACGCGCAGGATGCCCTGTAACCCTATTCCCGCTCCGGCTCCCTCGTGAAACCGGAGCTTCCCTGCCTTGGCCGAGGGGGAGGGCTGCGGGGAGCCAGACCGCCTGCGAGGACCACAGGGTTTTTCCTCTCGGGTTTTGGCTCCTGTGGGATGGATGTGGCTGTGGGGGGAGTTGGCCTGAGCTTCGCTTCTAAGCCAGCAGCTTGGTCAGGGAAACCTGAAAGCATTCCCAGCTAATCCTCCAAGTGGCAAGTCTGTGCCCGCCCATCCGGCTGAGTAAGGCTGTGGCAGGATCTGTGAGGGGTGGGCAGACCCTCGGATGCGAGGCGACAGCGCCCCCATGGTACCCGGCCCTCCTACTGGCTCCGACACAGTTCTCCCCTCTGCAGTGGCCCACTTCCTTTCTCTGCCCCTTTTGGGGCATTACCTGTCATTCATTACCTGTCATTCTCCTTTCCCCGCTCCCCAGGTGCTGGCCTGGTTTGAGGAAGGTGAAGAGACCATCACTGCCTTTGTTGAACCCTTTGTCATCCTCTTGATCCTCATTGCCAATGCCATCGTGGGGGTTTGGCAGGTTAGCTTTGACCCTTCCTCACCCCTTCATGTCCCAACACTGAAGGCGAGGCCAACCCTCCCTCCAGTCTCCTCTTCCACTGTCACCTCCCCTGTACTTGCCTTCTCATCTGGTCCTATCGCCCGCCCGATCTGGAATGGGATGGAGTTTGGGGAACAGGTGGGAGACTGTGACCCACTGTCACTTCCTGGCTGTGTGACCCTGAGCAAGTTCCTTCATCCCTCTCAGCCTGTTTCCTCATCCATAAAATGGGGCTAGCAATCCCATGTGAAATCGACCAAGATGATGTGTGTGGCTGGTACACAGTAGGAATTCAATAGATGCTAGCTTGATTTCCTTCTTCTTCTGACCTGACCACCCTCTACATGTCCTGTCCTCTGCTTTCTGTTTTTTTTTTTTCTTAAGGTCATTTCCAAAATGAAAACCCAAATGCTACCTTGCTTTGGTTCTAAGAAATGTCAGGCTATAAGCCACTTTTTAGTGCTCGCTGGTTTCTGAACACTGAGGATTGAAATAGCCACTTTCGCACTTTGGGAGACAAGGCAGGTGGATCACTTGAGGTCAGGAGTTCAAGACCAGCCTGGTCAACATGCTAAAACCTTTCTTTACTAAAAATAAGGAAAAAAAAATTAGCCAGGCATGGTGGCAGGTGCCTATAATTCCAGTTACTCAGGAGGCTGAGGCACGAGAATCATTTGAACCTGGGAGGCAGAGGTTGCAGTGAGCCAAGATCACACCATTGCACTCCAGCTTGGGCCACAAAGTGAGACCCTGTCTCAAAAAAAAAACAAAAAAAAGAGAAATAACCACTTTCTCTTTGCCCCGACGTATTAGGCATAGCAAGGCCACTGTGTCTATGGTGCTGGCAGGTCCAGGACAGCATCTGCAGGGCAGCCTCTGATTTTCTTTGATTGATTTATTTACTTTTTTCATTTTGAGACAGGATCTCATTTTGTTGCCCAGGCTGAAGTACAGTGGCACAATCTCAGCTCACTGCAACCCCCACCTCCCAGATTCCAGTGATTCTCCTGCTTTAGCCTCCCAAGTAGCTGGGATTACAGGTGTGAGCCACTGTATCTGGCTAGTGTGTGTGTGTATGTGTGTGTGTGTGTGTGTGTGTGTGTGTGTGTGTGTTTTCTTGGTAGAGATGGGGTTTTACCATGTTGTCCAGGCTGGTCTTGAACTCCTGACCTCAAGTGATCTGCCTGCCTCAGCCTCCCAGAGTGCTGGGATCACAGGCGAGAGTCACCAAGGCTGGCCTGATTTTCTTTGATTCTTCCTTTTTCTCTCCCCAAAACCCTCAACTGTTTTCAGCTGTAGGTGACAGTTTCCTCAACACACATGCACTCCTGCCCCCTGTGTGGGATTTTGTTGCCTTCCCTGTGCCAGGAGCCACAGTTCCATAACCCTGCCTGCTGTGCATAACCCTGCCTCCTCCACCGTCTCCTCAGGAGCGGAATGCAGAGAACGCCATTGAGGCCCTGAAGGAGTATGAGCCTGAGATGGGGAAGGTCTACAGGGCGGACCGAAAGTCAGTGCAAAGGATCAAGGCTCGGGACATCGTCCCCGGGGACATCGTGGAGGTGGCTGGTGAGTGACAGGGACGGCTGGTCCAGGATGGGAGGCCTTGGGGCCGAGGCCCAGGAGACACTGGGGGCTGGTCAGGCCTGGATCTCAGTGTCCAGGACAATGGCGGAGCCTGCTCCTTCCGACTCCTCAGAAGGTCATCCCAGGCCACTCCGGCCAGGGTCCCCCCCTCCCTAATAGAGTCTCAGCAGGAACAGTCAGTCCTGTCCCTGAGGCTGCAGGCAGACCCCCTGCTCCCCATCCTCTCGCCCCGCACTTGCAGGCAACAGGTGGAACCCGGTCCCTGCCAATAGCCCCGTCTCCACCCCCTCCCGGGGCCTGGCTTCCCCCTCCTTCCACCCACCCCCAAGCTTGGTCAGCTTTCAGTCTTGACCTCTCTGTGCCCTTGAGGCCTCTCAAAGGGGAAGGAGCGAGGGCAGAAGGGAGGAGGGAGGCTGAAGGCTCAAGCCCCCAACCATGTAAGGGAAACTCAGGCCCAGCACGGAGCACGGGACTGGGGAGGAGGGAGCTCAAGGAGGGCCCCGCCCGTGGTGAGGGACACTTAATGCCTGCCCAGGGAGGGGTGGGGGCCGGGTGGCTAAGATTACTGGGATTCTGCCCCCTTCAGCGGTTTTTATATTTGCCCTGAGCAGGCCTTCCTGAAGCTCCAGGCCCCTGGCAGGGGGAATGGCTCCTCCGAGGCCTCCTTCTCTGTAAGGGACACCCAGACACCCGAGTCACCACCCCAGGGAGCCTGGGGAGGGGGATCAAGGGCAGGCTGAAGACCCCGGCACCCCACTACAGGGCAGTCTTGCTGCCGTGACAGCGTGGAGTCAGCGCCATGAATGTCTATAAATATCACTCGGGCTTGGGTGACAGGGTGTCCCGCCTGTCTTTATCCCGACCTCCTCCCTTCTCCCTCCTCCCTCCTTGCTCCATTTCCTCTAGCACAGGAGGGGGCCTTAGAAACAGAGGGAAAGGAGAGCGATTGGACGCTGTCCCCAGTACCGTCTATGGAACTAGGGTGGAATTAAGCAGTGGCTCTGGGAGGTTCCTAGTCTCCTCCTGAGGTCTCTGAGTCTGGCTGGGCGTCCACCTCTCCAGCTGCCTCCCCAAAGGTGGTTTCCCTGTGCCCACCCACCCACCTGTGCTCTCCCTGGCCTTACCTCCCCCCATTCACTCTCCAGCCTGTGCTGCTCACCAGCTCCTCCACACCTGTTTCCTGCCCACACCCCCTTCTCTCAGCCCTATCCCACCCTGGCCTGTCCGTATCCCAGCCCACTCTCCACGGCTCCCCACCTCCCTGAGATGCTCAGGCCAGGCTATCAGGTTCCTGATATGTGGTCCCCTCCATAACCACCCTGTGCCCCCCCCTGCCTTGTGTCCTGCCCACTCACACCTTCCACGCACTCACTTCTCTCCCTCCTCACCCTCAACTGTTCCTCTTGGTTGGCCTCGATTTTCTCAATTTTTGTATTTTCCCCTGCTTCTCCCTGCCTTCTGTGGTTGTCCACTTCATTCTCTCACCCCATCACCCCTTCTCTCTAACGCACCATTTTTACTGAGTTCTTTCCTTACTTTTCCTCCTCGCCTTTCTCATTCCTGTCTCCCATTCCCAATTCTAGCTTCTTGTCTTACAGCAGGACTGTTCCTAATTTCCCCTCCAGTCATTCAGTGGGCATTTATTCAGCACATACTATGTGCTGAGCAGTACACCTGCCTATCCCTTCTCAGGGCTCACAGCAAGTGGGAAGAGATGTGGGAGTTCAAGACCAGCCTGAGCAACATAGCGAGTTGGAGTCTCACTATGGACACGGGGGCAGAAGGGATGTGTGTCATGATGCGTGCTTGCAAGCTTCAGGAGCTCGTGCTGAGGGCCTAATGCAAGCCCAGGGTGGGTCCTCAACCCTGGAGGCCTCCCTGAGACATGAAGGATGGATGAGGAGAATGAGTCAGACACAGATTGGGTTTTTCTTAGGAAGGAAAAAAATTCCCTGCCTAAGTGACCTCCCTCTTCCCTACTCTCTCTACAGTGGGGGACAAAGTCCCTGCAGACATCCGAATTCTTGCCATCAAATCTACCACCCTGCGGGTTGACCAGTCCATCCTGACAGGTCTGCTGGCCTGGGTGGGAGGATGCATGGGGGTGGGATGTGGGAAGGAAGAGGCAACAAGGGGTGGTGAGTGGAAAGATAGGGAACCCTCACTGTCTGAGCAACATAGCAAGGACCTGTCTTTACAAAAAAATTTTAAAAACTAGCTGGGCATGAGTATTGTTGAGTCCTAACTACATCAAGGTGTGTGTGGCCCTTGGGATACTGTGGTGGGAGAATTGCCTAGGTCCAGGAGTTCAAGGCTGCAGTGAGCTTTGAAAACGGCACTGCACTCCCTCCTGGGTGACCCTGTCTCTAGCAGAATAAAAACAAAAGGCCAGGCGCGGTAGCTCATGCCTGTAATCCAAGCACTTTGGGAGGCTGAGGTGGGCAGATCACTTGAGGTCAGGAGTTCGAGACCAGCCTGGCCAACATGGTGAAACTATGTCTCTACCAAAAAATACAAAAATTAGTCAGTCATGGTGGCAGGCACCTGTAGTCCCAGCGACTCAGGAGGCTGAGGCAGGAGAACCACTTGAACCCACGAGGTGGAGGCTGCAGTGAACCAAGATCACATCATTGCACTCCAGCCTGGGCAATAAGAGGAAGACTCCGTTTCAAACACCCCCTCCAAAAAAAACAAAAAACAAACAAAAAAACGAGCACTGGGCCCTCCCCCTGGCTTGCTAGTAGTAGCCATTGCTAGTAGTAGCCATGGCAGTGGCAGCACTGCTTGATGTTTTTATTCTGTCCTAAGCCTGAAATGGGAGGGGTAGTGAGGGAAGGCTGGATGCTGTTTCCCACTCTCCAGATGGCCGCCAGCCCAACCCTTCCACATGGACATAGGGCCACACACACCACGAGAACTGTCCTTTCTCCTTCATCATCTTTAAAAGTTCTCCAGGGAGGAGCCATGAGATTCTAGGACAACATGGAGGGTTCAGATACACTGAAAACTGTGGCTGTTAGGCCAGGTGTGGTGGCTTATACGTGTAATGCCAGTGCTTTGGGAGGCTGAGGCAGGAGAATCACTTGAGGTCAGGAGTTTGAGACCAGCCTGGGCAACACAGTGAGACCCCATGTCTAATTAAAAAAAAATTTTTTAAATTAGCTGGGTGTGGTGGTGTATACCTGTAGCCCCAGCTATTTGGAAGGCTGAGGTGGGAGGATTGCTTGAGCCCAGAAGTTTGAGGCCACAGTAAGCTATGATTACCAAAGCAGTCCAGCATGGACAACAGAGCAGGAGCCCATCTCCATAAAATTTTTTTTTTTTAATTAGCTGGGCATTGTGGTGCATACTTGTAGTCCCAGCAGTTTGTGAGGCTGAGGTGGGAAGATCATTTGAGCCCAAGAGTTTAAAGTTGCAGTGAGCTGTGATCACACCACTGCATTCCAGCCTGGGCAATAGAGCAAGACCCTGTCTCTATAAAACCACCGTAGCTGCTTCTGTTTCTGCACTGGCAGGGAGAGACGAAGAAGACGCAGAAAATATTCCCCATGGTTTCTAGGGGTGGGTCCTAAGGGTGGGTCCCCTTCCTCCCAGAAACATGCTTGAAGTTGAAAATGTGGTTTCAAATACATCTGCTTATTTCATTTTCGCCCAAGACATTGTTCTGCAGTTTACATGTCCTTGTCCCCATTTTACAGAGGAGCACATGGAAGTTAGGTGATCAAAGTCACAAAGCTTGTCAGTGGTCAGGCTGGGGCTCAGGTCAAGGTCTTTTTAAGAGCAGTGGACTTCTGGCCAGGCATGGTGGTTCATGCCTGTAATTCCAGCACTTTGGGAGGCCGAAATGGGCAGATTAATTGAGGTCAGGAGTTTGAGGCCGGCCTGGCCAACATGGTGAGAC